GCCCTAAAAAACATCAAAGTTATAATGCTGCTCGCCAGTAAAATAAGTTCAAATCTTAGCATTCCCTGCATCAATTTAAAAGTGAAAATAAATAAAATAAAAAATATTTTCTAGCAAACCAATAAGCATCACAAACGGAAAAATTATTCCATACGGATCGGACACTGCACGCGTCACAAACAGAAAAATTATTCCATACGGATCGGACACTGCACGCTGTATGCAGTGTCTGATCTCGATCACCGTAAAATATATTTCGGTGGGCCCACTTTTTTATATAAAAAATAGAAATAATCTTGACCGTAGATCACCATGATCTACGGCCAGAATCGGCGGGGTCCGCACGCAATAATTCCTCTCATACATAATTCAATAAATTCTGTTATCCTGAAAGGAGCCCACTTTTATTTCTGGGATATATAAAAAAGAAAAAGAAGGATGGAGATGCGGAGAAAAAGAAGGATGGAGATGCGAGGAATCGATCCCCGTACCTCTCGCCGCTCTACCATCTGAGCTACATCCCCATGTTGATCCTGAGTTATTTATAAAATATTTTAATATCTTTTAAAATTGTCAATAAATAACTCAATCCATTTTTTAATATTTTTATATACTGCATTGATCTGAATCTGCTCGGAATTCACGTCCAGTGTATGGAACCTAAAATAGGAGAGAAAGACAGCACACAGTTATGAACAGTACAATAGAGATTTTGGATATGGGTCCCCTATTTACAATTTATATATTTACATGTTTAACCCTACTTTAATGGTGATGTTGCAGGGTATTTAGGGTATTTAGGGTATTTATATAAGTGAGTTGCTCCGCTACCCTTTCACTCGACCTGCTTAGATTAGTGGGTCTTTGTTCGACAAGGTTTGTTCGTAAGACTATGCTGAGTTGGGGTTGCCGATCGATTGTTGTTGATCTTTGGTCGTACGTACTTGGCTTTCTCGGCTTGAGTCTGTCGTGCGGACTTGGGTTTGTCGTACGAGCTTGACTTTGCCATTTAAAGAATTATTTATATACCGGGCCGAATTTATGCGTATAATGTACAAATAAAAGTTTAAATTGAGGGGAAGTTATATGCACATGAAAATTTTATTTATTTACATATTTAACACCCAAACTTTAATATCATGAAATTTTTAATGCCCATAAAAAACATAACCATTTTTTAACTTTTAAAACTGAAATAGTTAAAAAAACTGAAATATATACTTGCATATGTAAGTTTATCACACTAAAGTGTTATAAATTTAAATGTGTTGAATCGAGATTTGTCCTTGAATCACATCTAAGCAATGTTGTGCGAAAACAATGTGACACAACAATAATCAAACATGAAAGATTTATATGGCTCAGCACTGAGTTGGTTCGGCTACATCCATGGGGAGGAAGTTTTCACTAGCACTAGATGAGGAGAAAAAAAAAAAAAAAGGCTTGGGTTTACATCTTCTGCACTTCTCACTAGAATTGAAAAAAAAAAAGACTTGGGTTTACATCTTCTGCACTTCTCACTAGAATTCTCTCATGAATCTAAGTCACTTTTGTAGAGGAGGACTATGGTTTACAAATAAATAAAGCCAATACAACCAAATAATCCTAATTTCAAAAAAAGCAAATAAATACAACAAGGAATGGAGTCCGACAAGATGAGAGAAACGTACGAAAAAAGAGATGAGGTGTTTTCTAACATAATTTCAGCAACCACAATTACATTTAGTGCTCTTCAATTTATAGGGATCTAAGATTATTGTGAGGTGAGAATTATATCTCTGACCCACTTTAATTGGTGAACCCTTAATCAATTGGTTTCCTGTGATTTAATTGATTTATATATTGTGGGTCTTCCTCTTGCTAGTAAGCATCTACCTGAGTAGCCTCTGAGTTGATCTGTGTTGGGTCAGTCAGCCCTAGGTTAACCGCTCAATTAATCTGTGGTTGGTTGAAGACTTTCATTGGATCATTCTACAAGTACCTTTATTTATTCACATAGAAATCTGATTGGTGACACGTGCTCCTTTGAACCGTTAGATATTCTAAAGATCCTATCAAAAATATTTTTATTATACCATGATCTTAATTTATTAAAATTAAATGAAAATATGAAACTAACTCAATAATATGCAATGGAGAAAAAAGTTTCATGTGGTTGACCCCACTGTAGAATAAATACTTGTTGTCGTTGTATATAATATGACTTGCTGCCTACCGCCCACGCCTGCTAACCCCTGCCCCAGTCTGTCATTGCCGGCCTTAGCTAGTCCACATTCGTCGACCGCCCGCCCCAGCCGTCTGCTTGCTCACTTTGCTTTGGGTGAAGCAAAAAAGACATTAAATAGACGACATAACTTAATACCGGAGTGCACAAGGGTTCAAACTCTTTTATAAAGAGTACATTTATATATATGTGTGTGTGTGTGTGTGTGTGTGTGTGTGTGTCTTTGAAATATATAAATCATGATATAAATCACGACAACACTAAAAGAATTTTAAAAGGGCAGAAAACAAAAAACAAAACAAATTTAAGGAAAAACGAAAATAAAAAGTGTTCTCAATCAGGCCCTTCTAGCATTTAAACACTTCGGAATTTGATAAATTTATATCTATATTATTTATTAAATCCAAACAGCCCCTAAGCTATTGGGGATCAATTTATATTTTTTGGTTTTTTTTTTAACAAAAAAATATAAAAAAGATGTAAACATAGTGTTTTTTTATATGTTTTTTGCTTTATTTCTGTTTTCAATTTTTGGGGGAGAACTTCTATTTTTAAAATACTAAAAACAGAAAAAAAATATGTCTTTGTCTATTTTTAAAACACAAAAACAACCCTTTGTTTAGCCCATCGCCTAGTGCCAACCATCGTCGTTGGTCGCCACCTCCTTGCCCTGGGCGGGAAGCCGCTTGTCGACCTCCCCCCACCGCCAGTAGCCCTATTTTCGCCCACCACGGCCGTCATAGCCCGTCTTCCGTCGTCGCTGACTACGCTCGTAGTCTGCTGTCAGTCACCAGACTAGTTCAATCATCTTCCTTGCAAAGACTGGAGTTGACGAGTCTAGTAACCCTCAATAAATGTTCAAATACTGAAATAAGAGTTTACAAGTCCAAATCATAAAACTAATTTGATCCTCCTCCTTCTAAGGAAAGGAGTCGATAAGAGTTATATTTTGAAAAACTTAAAGTGATAAAATTAATCGCTCCATTCATATCTAAAAAAAGTATAAAATATTTAATACCGTGATGATGGTCGAGTTGATAGAAAATTTTGACCTGATGAGCCAATATTTTAAATCAACACTTTTAAAATAATCAATTAAAATATCCAAGCAAAAAATCAATCACTAAAGTCTTCAAGCAAAACTCATCAACCATCCGCAATAGTTTGTGGATGACGACAAATTTCTACCCGACTTTAGCTCACGAAGAGCAAATATCATATTAAATGTTTTAATATATTCACAATCAAAGCAAGCACATGTCAGCAAGGTCGTTGGTCAAGTCCTCTGCCCGTACAGTTTCATCGTCAAGTGGCACTACAAAACACTGATACGACCATAGCCCTCTGACCTGGTAGTTGCCGCCAAATGACACTATTATATTACATTCACAATCGCAACCTGTATGTTCCCCAATGGTTTTCTACCATTTGATTTGTGAATCATAAGGGTACAATAATTTGACATAAAGCCTTCGATTAGCTAAGGTTGACTTATATTTGTCTCCTTGGACAAATATCCACCGCAGATCTACAAGGATCTCATGGATGATGCACTCATGGTTGCTGTCAAGAATCCTCCTGTCAGTTTGGGTCGACCACAACACTACAGCCCATAATGACAAAACCATGAGATCTTCATTAATTTTCGTCCCCCCCCCCGCCCCCCCGCAATTGTTTTAAGCTTCAATTGATAAATATTGTAACTTAAATCTTGTGTTTGTTTCCATTATATGTTCAATTTTTAATTCTTAACAACTAGTCTTAATCGAAAGCGCTCTCATGTTATCGGGAGGGATAATTAATCATAGAAACTTCTATGGAAAACCTTGAATCTCAGATCCAAAAGCATATCTGAAACTGAATGACAGAATCATGGGATCTTGATAAGGTTTCGTTTTCATTCCCCCACCATTTGTTTTATGCTTAAAGCGAATCCCAGATCCAAAAGCATATCTGAAACCGAATGACAGAATCATGGGATCTTGATTAGGTTTTGTTTTCATTCCCCCACCATTTGTTTTATGCTTAAAGCGATGAATTCTGTAACTTAAATCTTATCTATTGCCATTATATATTCAATTTTTAATTCTTAATGAATAGTTGGAAGAGGTAATTGACCGTAGAAGCTTACACCTATGAGAAACCTCGAACCCCATATAAAAAAGTTCTCACAAATGAGGGTGAAATCTCTAGATAATGTCTTATCTACAATCAAATCAGTCTTTTAAAAAGTCGGCCTTCCAAATCTCTCAACAAAATAAAAATAAAAATAATTGCAGAGAGTAGTCCGGGAGAACGGTCGTTGAATTTTCAAAGCCCGCACCGTCTCGACCTCCGACTGTCAGCAACCGTTATTTGCAATTGTTGCAGTCAAAATACAGTTGTTATGTCTTACACTTTTATTTTCTTTGTGATGTATAATACCAAGTGTAATTTTTAATATAAAATTGTACCTCTATTCTCTCTGTCATGAGAGAACACACCCATGTACTTTAAATACAGTGGACTACTTTGACAGAGCCAGACCTCATGATTTTTTTTTTCAAGGTTTTTCCACCTAAAAATTTTGATGCTTCTTCCTATTACATATCTTTATCTGTGTGTATGTTAGATATTCATGCAACATTAAGACAAATGTTAAGAAATTGAGTGATATAGTTTAGGTGTTAAGAATATAAATACATAAGAATTGTGTGAAACGAATTTAAATGCCCCAATATTAAAATGACATTTCCATTAAGTTATTATTCTAGGGGAAAAAAAAAAGACAACTTGCTTCATCTTAGAAGAACTTCTAACTAAAACACAAATTACAGCATTTAATTCAAACCATAAAGTTACAACATAACTGTAGCTCTCTCAGGCATCAAAAGATACAAACAGAGAGTTCTTATGAACAGGCTTCAGCATCAAAGTTCGGCATCACAACAAAAACAATGGAGAGAGGAGCAACTATAATTGGTGAGTTGCTGTAAATATATGAAGGAACTAAATCTGGAATCTTTCCATCTTCTGAAAGTTGCAGAGTTCTTCCATTTAGTAGCATAATTCTACTTCTATGGTTGCCATCCTTTGCTGTTAGATGATACTCTTTTCGCTTGATTGAACTGTGGCGTTCTTTCATTCCATTCAAGTATACCATCTTCTCCAATCTATCTGAAAAAGAGCAGTTATTCTTACGTTCATAATCCACACTAATTTTGCGATTTGTCTCCTTTTCAACATTGATTCTGAACTCAGAGTTGAGTAAGTTGATTAGGACCAGAGAAACTCCAGCCTGAGATGAAGAAGATGATAGGAACAGTAAGAACAAAAAGGTGTTGAGAGTTAAGCTTTATCAGCAAAAGAAAATGATCTTAACCGTTTTTTTCGTGCAATGGGCATAAACTCGTAGAAAGGAAGACCCATTGTTATTGACATAAAGAACTCTCTTCCCCATAAGCCGATGCCACAACAGTGCGCTGTTCGGATCAAATAAATGAAATGTTCAAGCATATGGGTTAAGGATTCTCTGCCATGATATATCCAGAAGCTGAATGTGCTCCCTAACCTGTAATAATCAGGATTTGGTATATATGTTTCAGTGTCAAGGAGGCCATAGTTGCCACCAATCAAACTTTGTCTGCAATAAGTTTTGGTGTTGAATTTAGACGCCATTCCTAACTGATCCAAATACCTGAATCACATTTACAAAACGAATATAAAAAAAAAAAGATTAACGAAATAAGTATGAAGCAAGATGAAGAAAATCACCAAAAGCTGTTCAAAAATGTGTTTGAAACAAGATGAGCCCCACTGTTGTAGGCGCCACCAGCTTCACCTACCCAAGCAGAAGCCCATGGACCATGTTTCTGTAGGACTTGCTGGACATCTCTATATGTATCTGATACCTGACTTAGATATTCAGGATCCAATATCTTGTTAGGAAGGTGAGGATCATCACCTGAATGTTGAGGATGAATAGTTGATTCCAAATGGTGGAAAATGTAGCTAACTCTTTCTGAGAATAAAAGCCAAAATAGTGCCCTCTAAACTATCATCATATTTCTCCGATTTAGTTCTCCGACCAAGCAAAATAAATTCCAAAATAGTCTTCAGATAGAAATTGATCAAAATTCGAGATACATAGTGGATCCCAATTTAGTCATAGACGGCCTATTCCGGATAACTTTTTAACGATCAAGGGACTAAAATGGAGATATGTAATAATTGGAAACTAAATTGATCGCATATGAATAGTCAAAGGACAATTTTAAAATTTCACCTTCTTTTCTGGTGTATTTCTTATCAATGGCTATTGTCAATCCTTCTTTGAAAAGAAAAAAGTAGTAAAAGACGTACATGTGCAAAAAGAAGCAATCTTGCAACAAGCAACAGGCCTCACTCAAAATACGCACCTCGCCCGAGATTGTATATATGATGTGTAATACCATCAACAACGCCAGACCCTGAAGTCTTAAGTAATTGAATATACCACTGCCTATCAAAGAATCCTCCCGGAGCAAGTAAGAGCGGTAGCGGTTTGGTGGTAGAATTCTTATACAGTTCATCAAGAACAGCTTTAAGGCCAATCAGGTCCTTTCCATAAACCTCTGCGTCAACACGCGCACCAATTCCATGTCCGCTCAACTCATTTCCTAATAAAAACATATAGGTGCATCAGATTAATTACCAGTGGAAGTAATGATTGAACACATGGATGTGCTATGGAATAGTAAAAGAATATTTATATGGGGTCATTTTAGTTTCAGGGACTGCAGAAGTACCAAATTAGTCCCCATAATCTTTAATAGGGGCTAAAATAGTCCTCTATGGAGACTATTTCAGCCATATTAAAATAGTCTGAGAAATAAATTGATACTTTTTCACACTCTATGATTAAAATAAACGCCTACAAATAGTTGAGGGACCGTTTTGACACTTTATCCATCAATAAAATGAATTACCAAATTCCCATGAATCAACAGGATATGCTTTTGATATGGTGTATGCGATGAAATCGCGAGCATTCGACAGATTCCAGGCACCTCCCCAAACACCACGGCGAATACTATGTCTCCCACGGAGTGCATTAAGGCCAAATGTTACAACCGCTCTGCATCATCAAAGTTCGTTAGCTGCCTTCTATGGTTTTGAAAGGATTAGCTCATTCTCATTCGTTATGTTTAACTTTAAGATGACTAGTTTTCCCAACTAATAAGTATGATAATGCATTCATAATGAATACACTCCAATTAAATAACTTAGTAATAGGAAAAAAAATGCCATGATGAAACCAGTTGCTTTAGAGTGGCTTCGTAGTCATGCCTCTGAATTCTTTAGCTGATAGTGCACAGTTATTAAAAAAAAAGTTAATAGAATTGATGATGTATATTCAGTCTCTGGCAATACATACTGAAAAAAGGAATAGAGTTCTAGTATTTCTCTGCCCTCAAAAGGGAATTTGCTTGTAATGTAGATTGAGTTCTAGAGCAACTGAGATGTCAACAATCAAATTCAAGGTTCCAAAAGAACACAGAAAACCAGTTCATACTAAGAATGTACACCACAGACAATAGACCTATCAACCATGCTTTTGTTATGAGAAAAATTTGCAGATTTCTGATAACATTGCTCCAGTTGGAATGATGATAATTTTTTTGTTATCATAAATCTGCAAATATTTTCAGTCGCTTCAACTTACAGATTAACATACAAATGGAATGATTAATGAAGGACATTAAATACCAACCATTCCTGTGTTACAAATTATCTATAAGATTAGAGGTGTCAATTTCTCACTTAGCAGAATAACGGGCACAAATTAGACTCTCAAATTTTAAATTAAGGTATATCAGAATAGACAGCTGGTTATATTTGGATCAAGGAACAAACCACCTGATAAAATTTTGAGCAGTGTTTGGCTTGATAAGATGAAAAAAATTTCACCATGGCACCACCTTGACAAATGATAATTCAGATCAATATTGCAACCCACACCTTATCATCATGCTTTCCTCCTCCCCAATTATGCAATCTCCTTCCAATGATCTGCCATGGAAACTTCTCTTTCATATAAAATTCCATTACAGCAAGATTCCCTAACCCTCTACTCAAATACCACGCCATTAAAATATTCTCATGGTGTAGATCAATCTCAATTGTTTTTACCTTATAATAATCATCATTAATTTAGCCTTATCTTAAATATTTAGGGTTGGTTTATCATCGTCTCTATTCGTTCTTATTGAATTTTTACCTTATAATAATCTCAATTGGTTTATCATCGTCTCTATTCGTTCTTATTGAATGTTATACGAAGAGTGAATCATATTTTGCCCAAATTTTAAATCTATTCTAAACTAATTTCTTCAATAGTAGGACTCAAACATAAATTTGTAGGACTAAGCTTGTTGCCCTAACAAGAACCCAACAAATATCGTGGTCAAGAACAGCCCAATCTATATGCAACACTTGAATTGAAATTGAGTATTGAAGTCGAAGGTATGGTATTCAAGAAACGAATCATTAAACACTCTTTTTTCTAGGCTATTGTTATGTGAATTCCCATAAGTACTTAAAAATAAAATAATACAAAATACCAAATAAAATCAAATAAAATTTCTCTAATCATTGCTTGATGTGATGCTTCTGATGAGAACAAATAAGTTTCCAACAATTCTATCGAATTTTGATAAATTCAGATCTGAATTTAGTATTTGATACTCATCCAACATGTTAAAAGTTAGAACTATATAAGATTGTGTGGCAAAGGATTGGGTTAAGATTGACAAGATGTGGAAAGAGAAAAGAATCCCAAAAATTGACATTATGTTTATGAAATAAGATCAACTCAAATATTTTGCACACATTTTTTCATAAATTCTATTGCAAAGTAACCACCAATAAGTTACTTCCATATATGATAGTATTTACCATACATGTCAAGCTCATTTGGTATGTTGATCATGATTATAGGAAGTAGTATTACTTGTGCAGTTTTTATTGATCATATTTACACTTTTTGCCCTGTGTTTATATCTTAGCAAGTATATCTCATCAACTATGCATGTTTCCTGCAAACAACTACATATTGATTTTGTGATTTTCAATCTACTATTTGTGAATCCTAGAGAGGTGAGGTTCTAGACTTAAGTTTCAAGCATATTGGGAAGATGACTAAAGTTACATGTTATTTAATTAATTTAATAGAAATTTATCTTTCGTGCGAGTTATTATAATAGTCAAGTTCTATTAATAATTTTTAAATGAATAAATATTTAAATGTGATAAATTTTAAATTTTTTTTCATACTTTTTTGTGGGTATGTATTATTGTGGATAAGCTTTAAAAATTTTCATATTTTTTTGTGGGTATGTATTATTGTGGATAAGCTTTACTTATAGGATTAACCTTTAATTTCATAACTGACAAAATCCAATTGGATTTCTATTGATTTTCTTCCAGACCCGGTGAGTAGGTTGTCATCCCTGCCTCAAATCCCGTCGCCACAGGAAACAAAGTCATGGTTCATTATGCCAACAATAATTTAGCCAACAGTCAATCTTCTTTTGCAAACAAAATATAAAATCTTTGCTTCTCATGTCTACAAACAGCACAAAACATTATCGGAAGTAAAATAATTCAAATTGATTTTAGTGTACGTAGAATTCCAGTTGGTTTGTTGAAGTGGAGGAACGCTTCGGGCTTTTTGTGTGATAGAAAAGTACCGCTTAGATTGAAAGGAAAATTTTATAAGAAGGTGGTGAGACCTGCAATGCTCTATGGCGCTGAATGTTGACCTTTAAAAGAGAAGCATAATACCAAGTTAAGTGTTGCCGAGATGAAAATGATTAGGTGGATGAGTGGCTTTACACTTAGAGACAAAATGCGAAATGAATATATCTGTGATAGGGTTGGTGTAGCTCTTGTGATAGACAAAATTAGAGAAAATCGTCTTAGATGGTTTGGTCATATTAAACGTCGACCATTATAGGAGAGTAGATGTTTTAGATTCGACTTACGTGAAGAAAGACAGAAGTAGCCCTAGAAAGACTTGGGCTTATTATATAAAAAATGATCTTAATTTATTAGAACTAAATGAAAATATGACACTAAAGAGGACGCAGCGGAGAAAAAGGATTCATGTAGCCGACACTGAGGCTTTGTTGTTGTTGTTGTACATAATCAAGTTATTACACGTACAAAAATTAGAAAAAAAGTTTCCAAACTTCTAAACTCCAGGATGTTAAGGCCTGAACAATGCTATATTTCAATTATGTCAAACAGTGGATAGATTACAAGAGTGAGAAAAATCAATAAGTAATGCACATATTACCCAGTCTTTTGGAACAAAGTGTTAAGTTCATCCCATCTTTTCAGGCTTAAACAGCCTTTGGAGAAACCAAATAGTCCATCTGCCATCTTAACAAATGGGAGGCATGGATAATCTATGTTTGGCATACCGTACACAACTCGATCTTGCAAAGAACCACCAATCCTTATCCTCAATGGGGAGAAGGCTACAATTCCACAAATTAAAAAAGAAAAAAACATTTGTGAATATCTTCTTAATACGAATTTTCCATAGTTATATGAAGAACTTCAGTGCAATTGTTAAAAAAGCTCAATAGTAAAGCAAAAAGGATCGTCCGCACAACTTAAATAAGGCACCTCAGGAAGCAAAAGCTAAATTAGTTTGAAACAAATTGCATGAACAACATAGACAATAGATACAACATGAAAAATAACTATTTTATACCAATAATTACCTTTTATAGCTGAGGCTAGAAAAGGATGGTTTATCTCCTGAAAAATGAAAAAAAAAAAGAAATTATCTAACTTCAGAGAACCTGGTTTACTTTCCACTAGAAAAAATGCAGCTGAAAGTTTCAAAAAAAATGCAAATGGCCCCTTACCAGATTTAATACTGAGGAGTCTCCCCATGGACACTGATTATAATTACACTTCTGAGCTGGCCACCAATCAAGTGTAGCACAGATATAATTATCATTTGTTGTAGCCACTATAACATCCCCTCTAACTTTGATCGTTCCATTACTATGTTGCTGTGCAGCATTCCCAGGAAGAAACCAGAGGAGATGAAATAATAGAATCCACAGAGACATATTCCTTTTTTTGTTATCAAATATGCTATAAAAAAGAAGAATTTTTAGTTCAGAACATTATATGAAAAGAACATGTTGGTAGCCACACGGTAATAACATAAAAATATTAGCAACCAAGTTTTAAAAAAAAAAAAAATAGAATTTGTGGAAGTGCAAAACTGATAAATTATTGAAGCACTCATCTGAAATTATTAGATAAACTTAATTATTTCAGTAGTTGTTCAAAATGAAAAGAAACTCAATAGTGAAAATGAGGGCTAATCCTTTTCTTTCAGATTAACAAGAATTTCTACAGCAAAAACATCAGAACAGAACCTACTCAAAATAGAGCGAATCCTAACAGATCTGAGAATTTGGGACTAAAATGGAAGGAGTATTGGTTTCTATGAGAGTAATTTAATTAAATGAGTATAACAACTTACAAAAAACATAAGTTGCCAGAGTGTCCCGAACTTCAAAAAAGGAAATAATGTATAAATGCTACAACAAGCTCGGGAAAGAAAATTCTGCCATTAAATTCATCCCAAGGTCCAGCTCTTTTTTCTCCTCCTGGAATGAAGTCAGGACTGCTAAATAAACTAAGGCAGGCATTAAAAGCTTGGCACGAAAGAATTGAAGAGCTTCCTTAAAGAACACTAGATTTTCTACTTAAATAATGATAATAATAACAAATTCTTTATTTATTGAAGAACAAAGAGAAGAGAACATCAAAGTAAGCTAGAAAAAGCACCCCAGATCTGTTGTGAGTTGCTAAGAACGATGCATCCAGACTCATAAGATTTCTTCCAGTGGCATTCCAAATGGAGAAACATACAAAAGAAAACAATAAATCCCTCTAATAAATGCTGTTCCCTACCAACTGAAGCATACCCCCTTTTTTTTTCTTAAAATCAACAGATACAAATACAGAGACTTGAGAGGGAAAAAAAAAACCTATTTTTTTCATTAGTTAGCACACCAAATCCAACGAGGCCTGAAACTACAAAGCACCGCGCATTAATTAAACAAATAGCAGTTTAAATAAAAATTGGAATTTTTTTTAATATTAAAAGATTTCCTCCACTAAAAGCATTTCACAGGCAATACTCGTCAAGAAAGAAACTGCGGTAGATCAACAAAAAGGAGCCACCTTTACTGTCGTTATCTGCAGGTCTTCAACTGCTCACTGCTAAAGCCATGGAAATCACCCTTCAAAGGATTAGATGCCATTGTCGGTGTTGAAACAGTGAGATTTATGGAGCAAAGCGGCTTGAAAAATATAGGTAGGCGAGCTGTAATTAGTGGGAAATGAGGGTTAGCATTTTATTTGACAAATTATATATACTCCTGACGCTTGCTTTTCCGTTACTCCATGATTTGACAAACAAGTTGCCCCCCGCATCATTTTTATTCTCTGTAAGTATTTAAATTAAATAGAGTTTAATGAATTCAGATTCAAATTCTGTTAAATTTATTTGATTTTTTTTTTTTGCTGCGCTAAATACCTTAAATATAACTAATAAGTAAATTTAGTAAATCTTAATTTAATAAAAGAAATAAGTCAAAATTTAATTTAACTTAATGACAGATTTATCAAACCTACTAAATTGTGTTTGGCTGGATTTATGTAAAATCTAACTTAAATCCTCTTAAAAGTATCATACCAAACAACCCCTTACATATACCACACAAATTTTATATATTTATATTTCTAACACTTATATTTATATTTCTAACACTTATATTTATATTTATAACACTTAAGTAGCTATTTTACTTTTCAAAAATAATTATGTTGAATATGAGGAATAGAACGTAAAGAAGAGAGAAAAACTGAGAGAATACAACAGAGAACGAAATTGTATCAGATTTATTCATGAAATGAGTCCCGTATTTATAGATATGAGAACCATGAAATTGCACATGTATCTCTAATAAAATAGGTATAGTATGGGGTATTTCAATAAAATCTAACACTCATATTTATATTTATAACACTTAAGTAACTATTTTATTTTTAAAAAATAATTATGTTGAATCCGAGGAATAGAACCTAAAGAGGAGAGAAAAACAGAGAGAATACAACAGAGAACGAAAATTGCATCAGATTTATTCAGGAAATGAGCCCCGTATTTATAGATATGAGAACTATGAAATTACACATGTATCTATAATAAAATAGGTATAGTATGGGGTATTTCAATAAATAGAGATAAATGAGGCACAAAACCCTAAAAGGTGTTCAGCCGGCCGTATAATCCGGGCGACCATCGCTTGGGGGTCGGTGAAATGATACGAGCTACCGGTCAGGTATTTGAGCAGCCTTTATCCTTCATCGATTTTGCATGATGACTCTTGATAAATAGTCTGTGTGGAGATTCAATTGGGACACATTTGATGCGGGTCATTGATTATAGCCCGATTTGAGGATTGCCTTCAGCCAACTAGCGTGAGTCGGGCGGTCTGGGCCGGACCCTTGGGTTTCTTCTAGTTGACCTCCACCTATTACGTCTTTTCTTTTGTGATCGTTGAATCTTCTTGAGATTCATGCAGACACATCTTATATATACAAATTAACAATGATATTTTTTATGTGATATTTAAGATATGGGAGTTGTGCGAGTGGATATACAAATTCAGGATATAAGACTTGTGTGAAATGCATAAAAATAACTAGTAGTATGGAATTTTTTTCTTCTTACTTCAATAATCATAGGATAATTCTATTATAAAATTTTTGTATTATTTTCAGCCGATATGCTAAATATTTAAGCACAATTTTTTGTAGCATTACATATATGTCCAACCTAATATCTTATCTCAAAAAATACAGGACAAATTTGTAATATTATATTTTTAGCTGTTTTTTAATTCATAATTTTTAAAATATTGGAGTGTTGGCTTAGAAACTTGCCCTTCTCTGTTACTTCACAATTAGGCACTCTTCTTTCATAGAAATAGCAAAGTCTTTCATTAATACCAAATATCACACTACTATGTTTGATATTTGTTCTTTTGAAGTTTGGGCAATTTATTTATTTTTATCTCCCTTTATATATTTTTTAACCCAATACTTAGAATTAAATTAAATATTTAATAATTTACCCACCCCAAAAAAACCTAATTCTAACAAATTATTAATTATCAACCAAAACAAATGAAGCACTTTAGTTGAGATGATTGATATTTTATTTGACAATGCTATTTTATTTGTTGAGAACATCATATGTTAGTATGAAATTTGAAGGGTGTTTTTGGCTTAATATTTGCTTAAAATTAAAGTCAGGAATAATTTACTTTAAATTAAGGAAGATTTAGCTCCATACCATTTAATTCCCATGAATTGTTATATCTAATACCTAAACTTCAATTTTTACATATAAAGAATGGATGTGAAGAGTAGTTGTTAGTTTGACAATTTATGAGTTTAGTTGTTATGTTGAAAACATGAGTCTAATAAAGTGGAATGGTGCATGTGATAAACAAACTAAATATTTTGATTTTTAACATCTTTATAAAGTTTTTAAGAGAACCATTATGATCTAGTGTCAGATGAGAGTATCATGTGTGGGAAAACAATATTTTGCCAGGATGTGCGCATGTCCGGACGGCACACCACGTCACCCGCTGATGAGGTATATGGAGACGTGGAGACCGGTGGTTAGTTGTCGGGACGTACAGTTTATGGACGGAATATTTTCTCCATGTGTGGAGAGAAATTTATTAAGAATTTGACATCATGAGAATGTGCCTGATTATCGGTTGATTTTAAACCAGTAGATAATTATCAATTTTTAGTTGTTAAATTAGATTATCAACTGATTTGAGAATGATTTTTATTAATTGATAGAACCTTGGTCGCCAAAAACACAATTGAATAATTAAGCCTGTACATGTTAATAATTGATTCATTAGTCGCTAAATTTTAACGACTGAATAGCAATTGAATATTCAACCGTCAAAATCATTTCAACTGAAGACGTCAGTCATGAACTTTGTAGCAGAATAATAATTTACATTTCAGCTGCAAAATTATTGGTTGAATTACTAGTTGAGCAGTGGCTGAATTATCGACGAATCATGGACTAGATCTTCGTTGATTTAGCGACTGATATACAAGTTGTTAATCAGCCGATAAATTATAATAGAAAAAAATCAATAGGGTCTCTTAATAAATGAAATTTTACGCACTTACAATCAAAAAATGAAATAAATATGATTCATATTCATGATATCTCATAGCAGCTCTAGTATGGAGAATAAAAATGAATTAAAATATAGTAAACATAGTAAAATATGAATAAATCATTCACTAGAACAATGATTAAGTTCTTATACACATACATGAAAAAAACTTGTCCTCATGCTAATCCTTCTCCTCAATCACAAGTCACTTTGCCATGATGATGTGTCAGCCGCAATAGCCATGCAACGATCGCCTTGATCCTCTCAACCATATCATCCATGGTTTCCTCAATCTTCTTCACCTTGGACTCCAGCTAACATACAATATCATAGCTACCACTACAACTCCTCCGTCAATGCGACCACACACCAAGACATTTCATCATCAATCAATGATGTTTTCTTGCCACAACCTGAGTATCGTGCCTCACATACAAATCTCTATGCTCTGAGGCCATAGAACCTCTCCCTTTTTCTTCCTCTAGCCAGCTTTCTTCCATATCTCAAAGTTAAAATGATCATTAAAGCCACTAACACTATTGGGCTTTGACTCTAAGGCACCTTCGGAGGGCTCATAATTATCATGCAAAAAATATAAAGGATAATTAGTACTGAGATATGATTTTACATAAATTACACAAATAAATCAAAACTTATTAAACTTACATGAATATAGTGAGACATGTCGTCTACTGACCAATGGTTCGCATGATGTTGATGTGTAAATGCGTTCAACTTAGCGGTGGTAGGCTTTTAGCCAAGATCAAACCTCTATTAATGTATGGAAATATTAGTGTTAACCTTACTTTATTGAGGTCTATTTTCTCTCCTCTCCCAATCATTTAGAACCTAGGTTCCAGCTTTAAGAGTTTCTTAGCGACAACCATAAAGGACTAGTGAATGGTTGAGATCCAAATTTAGAAATTCAAGCCAAATATCCATTCCCTTTAATTGAAAATATACTTAACGTTAATCCTTAACCCATAGTTTTTTGTTGAGTTAATCATGGCTATGTTATTGGAATCAAGGGTTGAGTACCCACAATAGAATGAACATGCTTTTAGGTGACCCATTGAGTCTAGCAGTTGAGCAGTAGCTGAATTATCGACGAATCATGGACTAGATCTTCGATGATTTAGCGACTGATATACAAGTTGTTAATCAGCTAATAAATTATAATAGAAAAAAATCAATAGGGTCTCTTAGTAAATGAAATTTTACGCACTTACAATAAAAAAATGAAATAAATATGATTCATATTCATGATATCTCATAGTAGCGTAATAAGTCTAGTATGGAGAATAAAAATGAATTAAAACATAGTAAACATAGTAAAATATGAATAAATCTTTCACTAGAACAATGATGAAGTTCTTATACACACATGAAAAAAACTTGTCCTCATGCTAATCCTTCTCCTCAATCACAAGTCACTTTGCCATGATGATGTGTCAGCCGCAATAGCCATGCAACGATCGCCTTGATCCTCTCAACCATATCATCCATGGTTTCCTCAACCTTCTTCACCTTGGGCTCCAGCTAACATACAATATCATAGCTACCGCTACAACTCCTCCGTCAATGCAACCACACACCAAGACATTTCATCATCAATCAATGATGTTTTCTTGCCACAACCTGAGTATCGTGCCTCACATACAAATCTCTATGCTCTGAGGCCATAGAACCTCTCCCTTTTTCTTCCTCTAGCCAGCTTTCTTCCATATCTCAAAGTTAAAATGATCATTAAAGCCACTAACACTATTGGGCTTTGACTCTAAGGCACCTTCGGAGGGCTCATAATTATCATGCAAAAAATATAAAGGATAATTAGTACTGAGATATGATTTTACATAAATTACACAAATAAATCAAAACTTATTAAACTTACATGAATATAGTGAGACATGTCGTCTACTGACCAATGGCTCGCAGGATGTTGATGTGTAAATGCGTACAACTTAGCGGTGGTAGGCTCTTAGCCAAGATCCAACCTCTATTAATGTATGGAAATATTAGTGTTAACCTTACTTTATTGAGGTCTATTTTCTCTCCTCTCCCAATCATTTAGAACCTAGGTTCCAGCTTTAAGAGTTTCTTAGCGACAACCATAAAGGACTAGTGAATGGTTGAGATCCAAATTTAGAAATTCAAGCCAAATATCCATTCCCTTTAATTGAAAATATACTTAACGTTAATCCTTTAACCATAGTTTTTTGTTGAGTTAATCATGGCTATGCTATTGGAATCAAGGGTTGAGTACCCACAATGGAATGAACATGCTTTTAGGTGACCCATTGAGTCTAGAAACTAGACTTTGTGGCTTAAATCCCTTTCATTAGACCCTTGGTTCACCACATTGACTGGGTTCGTTAAAGCTACCCATTAGCTTAATTAGCCTACGGGAGATCTTGGGAGGCCCACCTAAAAATTTCCTACCCTCTTCCTTTGGTTTGGGCTTAGTATTCACCTAGAACCATGACTAAGCTAAACATAAAATGATAAATTAAAGTGATTAGCAAATCGAAGTCAAAACTAATCAAATTCAACAAAGAATAAATAATCAAATCAAACCCAATTTTAAATCAAACTAAAAATCAAAATTTAAAAGAACAATGAAATGCAAAATTATACATGATTCAATTAATTAAAATGCATACAACAAAATTTTATTAATAAACAAACATAAATAATATAAAAAATATATTTAGAATAAGCACTCAAACTATATATCCAATAACAAATTTTAACCTAAACCCAAATCAAACTTAAAATTCAATATCAAATTTAAATCTAATTTAAATCAAACATAATGATCATAGCATCTTAATTCACATCCAACTCAAAATTAAGATATAAATAATTAAATAATACTTTAAATTACAAAATTTTGCTCTCAAGTTCAATAATAAAATCATACATAAGTTTTAAGTCAAAAATCATAGAAATCTACATATAAATCTAATCTAAAATTCACATAAATTTACACTTAAATTCAACTTAAAATTGCATTTAAACCTCCATTTACGCCAATCCAAAGTAATTCATTTTAAATAAAACATTAATGAACTTTAAAACTCATGCACATTTAAAATTAAAATTCAATACAAGTTCAACACTAATTCAACTTCAAATCAACTACAAACTTACCACCAAACCAAATCCCAAATTAAAATCAAGTTTAAATCACTCAAATCATCACAACCTAACCTAAACTTAAGCCTATACTCCAACTTCCCCATAGTTTATATTCAATTCTATATCAAAACTACATCAACTAGAGCCCTAACCCAAGACATCCTAAGTCCTAAACTAAAATCCAAGCCACCAGCACACCCAACCTTCATTTCTTTCTCCAGCTAAAACTCTGCCCAACTAGTGGCTAATGCGCAACCCAAGCTTGACCCAAGCCCACCATAATCAAAATGGCAAATCTACACTCTTGTCCATAATCAATCATTTCCACTTGGCACTCCTACGTTAACTTAACTCTCACCATTACTTCCTCTTCCACTCCCTGCCTTCCCTTGGTACCAAAAGGAGCCCTAAGACCCTTCATTCATGTTATCTACATATAGAACACCCCAGATCCTCACAACTTTCTCATTGCCTTTCCCATCCTCTGAGGAACCCTCCCAACTCCTCAATTCATCTTTTTAGCCCTCAGTTAGACAAAGAGAAATCTAATCCCACTTCTATATAACTCAATCTCCTTTTTGAAGCCTCAAAAGCTTTAAAGAGCTTTCAACCCCTTGCCTCCCCTTATGATTGCGCCTCTCTACCACCTTTCAATCCAAGTTGGAGCACTTGCTAGTCGAAGAAGTAATTGGAGTTAGTGGAGCTTGCTACTAAGCATTTAGAGATGACCATGGGAGCGATAAAAGCATTCTAGAGCAATTATTTGATTGGAATGCCTTGACATTAGATATATTCTTTGAACCTTAGTCCAAGACTTGCAACATGCAGTCCTTTGTGAAAAAAACTATTAGGGATCATGATTCCCACCTTTTGATGTATATGGTTTAACCGTATGATAAATTGATTTTGGTTTTGGGCTCCAGATATTTTAGATTGAACTGTTTTTATTGAACGATTTGCAGTGCTCCATGCACACGTGGACAACGAATGGATGCCATCTATTTTTGTATTTTGGAAACAAATAAATCTGATCCTTTCAAATAAGATCCCATCCTTTTAGTCAAATGTAAATTCGTGTAACCATATGATGGCTAATCGTTGGCGCACAAGTATCGACATCATTTTTTGATATCACGAGTGTAGGTTGTCTGCCTGCAAGACTTGAGATAGTGATGGTTTTTCCGTAGTATCTCATAGCTTGAGACACCATTCGA